GCTAGTACAGTCAAATACCCGCGCCGGACTGGAGAATTTGGCTAAAGACTGTCTCAGTAGGATCTCGCGATGGGGCGAACGAAATCGCTTAACTTTTGCACCCCATAAAACTTACCAGCTATTGCTTAAAGGAAATCTAAAGTCGTGGCCGTCTATTAAATTTAACAACGTTTCCGTAAAACGAAAGGAGTCGGTTTGCTATCTCGGTCTAGTTTTGGAAAAAAACTTTTCTTTCATTGAGCATATTAAGGCTATTAGTGAGAAAGCCAAAAAAAACTTCTATGCGCTGACGCGAATTTCAAAAGCCACCTGGGGTCTCTCTTTTCTTACGCTCAGGATCATATACGGAGCAACCTACCTGGGATGCGTGTGCTACGGGGCACCTGTCTGGGCTGATAGGGCCACAATAGGCGCGGTACGGCGAAAACTTCTTCAAGGCCAGCGTCTAGCCTTGATTTTCCTGTGTAAGGCTTATAGGACGGTTAGCACTGAAGCCCTACCTGTGCTCGCGGGCGTACTTCCGGTAGATCTTGAGGTGCAGCGACGTGCTGCTATGTACTACAGTGCGAGACCTAATTTGTCAGCAAGCTTTCTGGCAGAACGTGATAGAAATAAAATTGCAAGATTGTTTAAGCCAATAACGGACGTTTGGGATGAGCTTATAACTGAATGGCAGGGTAGATGGGCATCTTCTATTAAGGGCCGCCACCTGTATCAGTTCTTTCCATCCGTGCATGAGCGGCTGGAGAGGACATGGTTGGAGGTGGATCACTGTGTTGCCCAATTTCTTACTGGCCACGGCAACTTTAAAGGCAAATTGTTCTCATTTAAACTTATTGATTCACCATGGTGCCAATGTTCGACAGAGGAGTTGCGATACGAGCAGTCGGCCCATCACATACTCTGGGAGTGTGATCTCTGGCAATATGAACGTAACACTATGTTAAATAATTTAATTGTTTCGTCAGGTGTAGTTTATTATACGGACCTTGTGGAATCTAGAACGAATTTCCGTGCGTTTAGGCGTTTTTGCCATACCTATTATTGGAAGCAAGTATAACAGCTCACACATAGGACCCACTTAGTTTTTAGTCAAATTTCCGTGGTGCTTGGCGACTGGGCTTCACCCAGTTGTACAGTCTCTTCTTTGTGCCTTTAGGCTTAATTCATTCTGTCTCCTGCAGTAATTCACCGAGGGAAGTGAAAACCATAGTTTTTCTTCTTCTCCTCTTATAATATCTTCTGATTCACTTCGTTGCGGGAACCAAGACAGTTACTCATGTCCCTGGGACGCGCCGGACTTCAGTGTTCCGGTGTTTTCATGGTTGTATCTACTGTAGATCCTGGCTTACAGGAGTTGCAGCGGTTTTGGGAGGTTGTGGCGGGCTTGTCCCATTAGAAAAAAAAGTCGGTTCAGTAGAGGGTTTGCCATTTCTTGAGTCTCCTTCACATTTGGCGGGTTGAACATAACAGTTTAAAAAGGTTCAAGTACTTATATTAAAAAAGCGCTGCTGTAGTTTCAATCAAATGTGTAGTCCCTTAGCTTTAGCCCTCAATGTAGAGGTGGCCCATAATCCAGCTATAGTCTCTTATGGGCCACGGTCCACGTTGTCTGGATGATGATAATTGAAAGCAGAATTTAAAATTATTTTCTTAATGGTAAGCTTGCATAGTACTTGAATAGTTTTCTATTCAAGTCATAAAACTGTTGAAGGCAAATTCTTAGTTAGATATCGATGGTCACCTTTGGTCGATGAACGTGTTGAAGATGAATTCTAAGGATATTTTTTTAAGGGGGGAATATCATCGAATGGCTTCTCCCGCCTGGGTGAGGCGGGAGGGAGTGTCAGACTCTTACTGACTAAAAACCACCCCGTTCCTACTCCTGCACATCGAGCCGGAGCTCCGGTAACCCGTTAGGTTCTCCGCGGCGCCGAATCGGCATCAGCCCTATTGGGCCCCATCTGTGATGGTCTGATGGCTCTTTGAGGCGCGCGCGATTCTAGTGATATAGAGATGATAATTCTATAATATTTTGAATACAAACAGTTGCGCAGAACCCAGCAACAGTAGCCCTCGCGTTCTTAGTCTATTTATGTAACGTATTTTTTTAATTTTTGCCTTTTGTCTTACGCATCGTGTGCGCCTCAGGCGTCAATTTAGATCCCAAATTTTTTCGAGGAAATGCTTTTGTGTTTAATAGTATTAAATTTTCTTCTTTACAGTCATAGTCAGTTGTCTGATTTTTGACATAATCCAGACAAGCGTGCTCCATGAAAGGGTAGGCAGGAGTGTTTTAACAGACATTCATCTGTTAAATGCTAAGACTTAGTCGATTCTTACGACACCCGGGGAGTGATAGTAGAGATGAGGGATGATGAGAGTAGGGGTGGTAATAAATGTATTCCACTCTGTCTCAATATCATCAACATCAACAGCCTATAAGTGGCCACTGCTGACCAAAGGCCTTCTCACACGGAGAAAGTTTGAGCATTAACTCGTCGAGTACCGTCATTATAGACACAATTATAGAACAATAGGTTGCGGTCACCGGTGTCCTCGCGGTGTTTGACAGTTTAATCACCACGCTTGCTCAATGCAGGTTGGCAATTTCAAACCTATAATAAAAAATTATAAGTCCAGGTTTCCTCACGATGTTTTCCTTTACCGTTTGTCAATGGTGTCTAGATAATCTTAGTAAGTACACTGTAACAACTGTAACGCCTCTGGTTTTCTAGTTGTCCATGGGCGACGCCGATTGCTTACCATCAGGTGATCCGTCAGCATGTTTCCTAGCTAATGCTATAAAACAAAGTACATATAACTCGGAAAAAGTCACATTGGTACTTGCTGTGGGTAGGTTTCGAAACCGCACTCTCAAGAATCAGAAGCTTAACTCGTTGAGTACCATCATTGAAGACACAATTAACTCGTCGAGTACCGGTTTTGTAGACACAATTATAGAACAATAGGTTGCGGTCACCGGTGACCGCTTGGTGTTTGACAGTTTAACTCGTCGAGTACCGGTTTTGTAGACACAATTATAGAACAATAGGTTGCGGTCACCGGTGTCCTCGCGGTGTTTGACAGTTTAAACCTCCGGGCCACCACGACGCACTACGGTACCTGTACCTGCCACTCTGTCTACGGTAGTTTAAATATTTAAAATAACAATTTGTAACGTGCATTTCATCTCATTCGCTTTGTTTAACATTTAATTTGTGAAATGCTTGGTTCTGTCGAGGTACCCGCCGGCCATTGCAGATGAAACAAAAATATAAAATGCAGTAATTACGGCATTAATAGTAGGTAAGGTACCCATCTTGGTTGGTTTGTTTTGATGTTCGTTTCGTATGGGGTACGTTATCGTAATGGCCCGGAGGTTTAAGACACCCGCTTCTGATGCATGAGGGTGCGGGCTCGAAACCAACCAACGGCAAGCACCAATGTGACTTTTTCAGAGTTATATGTTCTTTCTAAGATTATTTTGACACCATTGACAAACGGTTAAGGAAAACACGTGAGGATAACCTGGGCTTATAATTTCTAATTATAAGTTTGTAATCGCCAACCCCAGTTGAGCAAGCGTGGTTATTAATGCTCAAACCTTCTCCGCGTGAGAAAAGGCTTGGCTCAGCAGTAGGCATATAGGCTGTTGATGATGATCGTTGATTCTGCGGTTGCAAGTGCGCCTGCCGAACAAAGTGGTTCTGGGTATTTTCAGGGTTTTCTGAAATCCATTACTAAAGTACTAACGATAGCATGAAGTCTATAACTTTGTTCGATATGTGTGTTTGATTGTTTTTGAACATATTATATGATTCTGAACGTATCACATACAATTCAATTTACATCTAATAATTTTAGTCCAAACAACTGCAGTCGCAGTAAAAAGTTAGTCTGTAGACAAAAATTCCCAACCCTCGTATTTCCTCCTGTCATTAGCGATCTGAGGGTTAAGTAACCCGATACTCCTCTAATGCACTGTCCACATAATAAGTATAATGGGTATTATAGAGCCCTTCTGATCATGTTATAACTTTGATTATTATTTGCCACCCCCTACATGTTACAAAGGTTAGAAACTATGACGTCATTATCTATTTATGATGGTTTTGATTATATTGTTGATGTCTGTAGAGATATTTTTGATTGTAGGCTTTGTGTCACTGTTTTGTTTTAACCTTTAAAGTCAAATTACCCATTTATTTCTTTATTTAACTTTTATACATAGGGTAGTTTCCTAAATTTTATTTTAATATCCGTCTGGTACATTAGTTTAAAACATTAGACACGTATTTTTTCTTTTCTCATACAATGAAATACTTTCGACGATATATTATTTTGAAATATCGTGTGACGTCACAGCGTGCCACATTTTGTAGCACGTTATGACGTAACAACCTCCCACTCCTAAACTAAATATAGGTAAGTATTGCAACTTAATGCGAGAAAATAAAAAAATACGTGTCTAATATTTTTTCATTATCTAACTGACGGACTAATTAGATTTTTAATTTTGATACCCTGGAATCTACCCTATTGCATAAGGAGGACTTACTTAACACATTGTGATAGGTGTTAGCGGAGTATTAGCCTTCTACAGTTGTCTGTTGGCAGTCTAAACCTTAATACTAACAGCATTCTCTGCCGGCAATGCTTTGGGTAGTGCAGAAATGTATGTGGTAGGTGGTATAACCTGCAAAGAGGTTAAGAGAGGTAGTGGTATAACTATAAGCATAAACAAAATACCTACGTACAAAATAATAAATTTAAATTTATCCTATCATACTACAAGATGAAAAATTTAAAAAAATGTTCAGAAACTGCCACTTCCTGCTAATGTGCTCTATTTTTTTGGTTTCATTGAAACAAATTTTTTTAACGGGTACTTTTGAAACGTCAAAAATAGGGAATAGTCCGTCAGTCTGTGAATAAGTGTGAAAAAAATTTCACGTGAATACAATGTTTTCTAACATATTATTTTTCTTTCTTTCCAGAAGCCGCATCGTCCCGCGAATGATTTCAAAAATAAACAAATCTATAATTACATCAAGAACTCGAAAAACGAATAGAATAATAAATTTTACATCAGTATTATGTAAGAATAAGTGATTCGTTTCGCTAATCCGCCATCTTGTGTGCTATGGCCGCCATCTTGAATATATTTCGTGTTAAAATGGGTGTGTTGATAGCAAGGATCTGTCTGCTTCTGATGCTGGCCGTCTACTCTTCATATGGTAAGTTTTTCTTTTACTATCTTTAGTTTAAATTATCGACTGTCGCGCTAATACTGTCAGTCGCCGCGTCACGGGTCGCGAAATGCTGTTCATGAATATATGAGCCTCTAGAATGGCTTGAAACTAGTCGAGTTCCTCGTCAAATCCGCGAATAAGCTAAAACACATAATTATTAATGTAGTGTTTCACGAAAGTTATAATATCGTTATTGTTTTACCGTTGTCGTTTTTGCCTTTAGCGGTTGATTACAACAAGGGTTGCCACCTGTACTTTATAATAAAGTATTGTACGTTATTTAAGGTAATTGTACTCTATACTTCATAAGAATAATAAAGTACACGAAAATGCTTTATTTTTCCAAATTTCGATATCGATATTTATCGACTTATGTTGAATCGATTTCGCCACTCGCCAGCACCACTTAGACAGTTTCTAGTAAAGATGCAATTGTTTAATAAAGATACAAATTTTATACAAAGTGCAAAAAGCAATAAAAAGTATATGGGCCATTATTTTTTTTCAGGGCCCAAATTGATAAACTGTGTCGTTAAAATAATATTATAACAAATTATTAGTTTTTTAATTTTTTTGGTTTAATTTAGTTCTATCAATAATTAAAGTAAACAGTACAGGCATTAGCAGCGATGTTTTTTTACGATTTATTGTTTTATTTGATAATAATACAAGGAAAGGAGTAGAAAAACAACAACTGTGTTACTTACTTAGAATAATCAGTTTTATTGTAGGAACTTTCACGTCAATTTTAAAAACCTACCAGACATAAAGTTAAACAAGTATTACAATAATCATTTAATGTAAAATCCCGATCATCTCAGTCTAATATCTTGTTTTCTAATTAAATTTGAAAGAAAGAAAGAAAGAAAAATAATTTATTTGGTACAACACCAGGCACAAACACAATACAATAAATACAATGCAAACAAAAAATTAGGAGTGAAATAGAAAAATTAAAAAAAGAACATAAACAGATGTAGGTAGATATATACAAAATTTAAAAAGTTAAATATACCAACAATAATCATGTGCCTGACAGCTGCACCAAAAAAGGTCCAGTTCAGCATAAATGCCAGACATCTAGTGCCTGACGCTGGTTTTCAACTGAACCTGTGGCTGTGACGCAACGGACGTAAGCAGTAAATGCAGAGTAGCGTGTGAAGTGTATTATAAAATTATTAAGTAATTAATATAGTTATACCATAATACATACATACATATAATAATAGGGTATAGTAATTAGCCAAAAAAGATTTATTAAATATGATAAAAATTATATTGCGTGTGTATGAACAGAATGCACGGGTACATTACTTATATAATTGAGGTATTTTGCACCACCATATCAAGCCTTCGCTGTGTATCGATGAGGTATTGTCGCAAGCGTCTTCTAAATGCACCCATTGAATTTGTTCCTCTAATAGGTGGTGGGAGGTTATTCCACACTTTGGAAGCCGCATAGCGAAAGCTGCCCCTGAAAGCGGCTGTACCATATGACTTGGTCGTAAGTTGCTGTGAACATTGCCTTCTTTCACATTCCCGCCGGCCCGTAAGCCATTTTAATTTTTGGAATAAGTAGTCCGGTTTCTGGTATTTAACTACACCAAATAAAAGGCAGGCCAGATGCAGCTTGCGTCTGGATTTCATTTTTAATATGAAATGTTCGTTCAGATATGGTGTTACATGGGTTCTGCAAGGAATGTTGTAACAGAAACGAGCGCAAGCATTTTGGACCCTTTGAATGAGCCGATCTGTACGTTTTACCACTGCGTTACGTTATTTTCATTTAAACTACTGTAATATCTCAAAATATGCCACAATAATTGCAATTTCAGCTCAATATTTATAGTATAGGTTGAAATATGGTAGATGAACAAAAAAATATCAAATTTATATTGTTTCAAAATTATATTAAAAGCTTTAGAGCTCTTAACTTATTCAGGAAAAGAGGGACAAAAAGTAACGCAGTAGTTGGATAGGTAACACAGTGGTAATCTTATCACAACACTAAGTGTTTTTTCGCTTTAACTATTATAAATGCTCTAAAACAATTATAAAGTATGTAAAATAAAATCAAACTTCTCCTTATAAAAACAAAAACAAAACAAATTACTCTCAAATTAACATTTTTAAACATCTTTGTCTCATCAGTCTTATTTCCCAAATATATTTAATGGAACATCAAATTCGTAATATACACGTTTACCTTTCTTAATTATTTTAGGATTAAGAACAATCTCAACAATATTATCATATGGTTCGTACGAAACATCCCTTTCAACAAGCCTGAACCTATACCGGAATCGTCAACTGCTTTTAAAAACATTACTTTAATCTCTCCTTCGTCATCGACATTGCTTTGGGAAACACCCATATAATAGTACAATTTGTCTTTGTCTGAAGAAACTTTAACAATAACATAAACACCGGAAAATATTTTAGTCGGATGCACATTTTCTTTTTCAATCAAGTTTCTATCATATGTATTAGATACAGAAGCCTCTTGTTGTATTTTAAGCTGTGAAAGAAGTTCATCATCTGACCTCGAAATTGGAGTATAAACCGATTTGTATTAAGATTTCATAGTATTGTCTACATTATTAGATATGTCAGTTAATACTTCTATTTCGTTTTCGTTTCTTTCTGGAATTGCATCAAAGGAAATTTCTAAATTTTGCTTATTTTTTTTGGGCTAATGGGGCTGGTAGAAGCAGGAATTGGTTGATATGTTTGAGGTGAAAAGCAAGCGCAAAAGCCCCTTTGGCAGAAGCAACTAAGATCACGATACTGCAATAAACCAGGAGTGTCTGAGAAAACTTGATGGACCAGCATTGTACCGAGGAGAGGAATTATGCCTTAGGGAATAGCCTGCTCTATTTTTTTTAATGTCGTCGTTAGTGATGTAATACAACTGAATCTTTATTCTGGAGTAATGGTTTTTAATAGCGTTAGACAAAGCTATGTATTTTTTGTGTCCATTTTCTGACTTTTTCCCTTTTTATCTTTGATATCTTTTCTTGTACTTGTTACATTTTTTTTCAATTTCTCATTTTCTTGCTCCAATTTCTTATTTTATCTGTATAATGCAGATCTGTCTCGTCTTACTTGCCTTCTTCCTCTGGACCTTAGAGAAACCGGAGTTCCTGATCGTGGTGTTGAAGCCGGTGTTATATCTAGAATAACTTGCACACTTTTCTGGCGTTCTCGACGTTTCCTGTTTGCCGTCTTCCATTAACGCTTTGCAGATCTATGTTATCTCTCTGTCATATTCTTCACAAGTTTTTAGTAGCATGATATCTCTGAAGATGTTATCTTTTAGCCTCAGCATGTTTCACAGGGTCCTGTTTCAATTTTTGCCTATAACGCCGTTGTTTTTCTGCCGGTGTTAACACCATTATATTGAAAATAATATACTGCAACAAAAGAACCCGATAATTAATTAAGTGAACTATAAAACAGCTAAATTAACTTCGAAAAACTGTTTACTTTGCAACTGCGTTACTGTACATACAACTGCGTTACTTGTCATGGTAACGCAGTGTAGTGGTAACGCAGTTGTAAAAATAACGTGTCTTCAAACATTTTGGTCGTTATAATAATAAATACCTAATAATTTTTGAGTGCATGCAAATATTTCATTGTTCTATTACAAAATGCAATAAAAAAACAATCAAATATCTTAAAAACTCACCGTTTGTCATCGGTAACTCAGTGGCCGCACAATAAACACACGCGCCCCTCCGGACGACTCGAGCTCGACTAACCCGGCCAGCGTCAAGCCCACGAACACCCGGCTCACCCCGACAGTAATCCACATTAAATCAAACGAACTTAGTCGAAACTGCATGAAAAAAGCCGAATTTAAGGTACATTTTGGCTTAGTAACACAGAGTACTTACGATTTCTTACTTCAACAGGGACAAGACAAAAAAAAATTCGTAATTAATTCACGGTTAAAGAAAAGATAAACTTATTAGCCTGTTAATAAAGTTCATACTTACCTTAATTTCTGTAGATATTTTAATTTAATAGTCCCGTGAAGAGTTTTAACGTAATGTCAATGTATTTGAAGCGAGTTGCTAGTTGGGACAGCCGGATTTTGTATGAGATACGACTGCGTTACCGAGAAAAGCGACTGAGTTACCGTCATTTACGTCAAAATATAAAATATTTCACTAATGTTTTATATTTCTTAGAGGGATATTATTATTACGTTTTTACCAATAGCGATTTTATTTTTATAATGATAGTTTTTGAAAATGTAACAGGATCTGTTCTTGAGAGACCGATTATGGGCCCTGGAAAAAAATAATGGCCCATATTTTAAAATATAATACTAAATAAGAATAAATTGTACTTTATTTTTGTGTACTTTTTTCTTACCTATAATCGTCAATGTACATTAAATACCAAAATAAAAGGTGGCAACCCTAATTACAACTGTTATTGTATAAAAGAAACATTGGATTGCTTGCTTTTTTAAATAAAACCTTTTTTACCATCGCCTGTCTATGTTTTTTGAACATGAACATAGAAATAATAGTTCTCGATTTGGGAAGAAATTAACATACAAATGGACTGTGATTTGACCTAACACTCGACATATCTCACCCCATTAACTTAACAAAACTCTGGCACCTAAAAGAACTATTAAACTGAAAACAACTCAAAAAACAAAAGAAATAAAGTTCAAAACATGAAATTGTCACAATCTATTACCGAAACCTGTCGATAAAATGGTGCTTACCTCTTCTGACGTATTTTAAAAACCAATGGCGCGTTTAAAAAAACGAAAAAGGTTTTAAAAGACTCTATAAACACTTTCTATTACAGGCCAAAGAAAGGCCACCCAACAATATACATATTAGATGCTTATAAATACTTGTTACTTGAAAATAACGATACACGGAGTATACAAACATGGAGTACCCACTATGGGTATCATAGAAAACTAGTCACTTCCACGCGGTTTCACACGCTCTGCT